AAGTATTTGCACACGTGCACATGCGTGCACACACACATGTATATATTCTTTAAAATTCCTTAAAAACATATATTTTTTTGGTATTGCAGATTGAACCCAGGGTGCTTTTATCTCTGAGCAATGTCCTTAGTCCTTTTTGTTATTTTGAAACAGGGTCTTGCTAATAAGTTGATTAGATCCTCACTAAGTTGCTGAGGCTGGCTTTGAAACTGTGATCCTCTTGAGTTGCTGGGGTTATAGGTGTGTGCCACTGTGCCTGGCTAAATTCTTTTTTAAAAAAGCAAGGATTGCTAAATTGCTATAGAATATAGGAGAAACATATTGCTATAGGATATATGAGGAACAAATTGCTATAGGACAGAGGAGGAACATATAAGTACATGTAAAATATTGCCAATTTTCTATTTCTTTGGTTGCCAGGTTTAGTGCTGGGTTCATGAGTATTCATTACATTATCAATAAATTATGAAAATTTAAAGGCCCATGATGGGCTATTTTTGATTATGTGTCATGAACTAAGGATTATGATTAATCCAATTCTAGGGACCTAGGTTCAGAAAGAAAACATATTAGCAATAGCCAAACTTATATAATGTTTACCATGTGCCAAGAAGTTTTTAAGCTCTTTATATGTTTTGACCCATTTAATCCTTCCAGTAAGGAGATTTTATAATTACTCCCATTTATAGATGAGAAAAACAAAGCCCAGAGAAATTATTAGTAACTCTTCTGAGGCCCATAGCAGACTGGGATTTAATCTAGGCTGGCTGGTTCTAGAGTCTATATTCTTCATCACTATCCTATAAGATGTTTAAAGAAATGAATGAGACAATTATATTAGGACTTAGTCATGAAAAAGTTATAGCACAGTGCTTTCTATTACAATTCTAAAGGAACACATGCACAGTCTGTAAGTGTATTAAAAATCACTGAATTGGGGCTGGGGATGTGGCTCAAGCGGTAGCGCTCTCGCCTGGCATGCGTGCGGCCCGGGTTCGATCCTCAGCACCACATACAAACAAAGATGTTGTGTCCACCAAAAACTAAAAAATAAACACTAAAATTCTCTCTCTCTCTCTCTTTAAAAAAATCACTGAATTGTATACTTTAAAGGGGTGAACTTTCTGATATATAAATTATATCTTAATAAAGATGCTTTTAAAAAACTGTATAAACCACAAGTAAGCAAGCCATTTTATCATGCAAACTGGGTCTCTAAATAATTGTTATTTTAGGAATCAAATAAATGCCAATAAGTAAAATATACACTTTCTCTTCAGGACAAACAAAACAAAACTCATTATCAAGAGAACATTCATTTTATGAAGAGAGAGGAAACAGAAAATTTTAATCTACTATCATGGGTGGAAAAAAATGTTCAGTTCCCAACTTGGCCATTTTTGCATCTGCCAGGAAATCAAACAGCTCTCAGCTCCAAAGATAAATTTCAAACTGCAATCGTAATTATCTGTATGTATATTGAGGCTATGCAAACAATAAAAACTAAGAAGAATAAGGGTGGAAAGAGAATATTTGATTGAAAACAAACTCATATTTTTAAATTGAGATGTTTCCTTTATGTGCACATTTACTTTTTTCTTTTAAATCTAAAATTGATTTTAAAGAAATGAAAAAAGTACTTCATAGAAAAAAGTCAGTTGTGACTATTGGGCTGCATCCTTAGGGCCTTTGAGTCATACAGATCCAAAGGGCCAACACTGGTATCAAAATGGGTTATGGCAGCTTTTCCTCAACACCATTTTTTTTTTTCTTTTGGCGGTAGGGTCAGGGCAGTGAAAGGAATAGATAGATCAATATACTGCTATGATGCTTGGAGAATCTGTTGGCAACTTAAATATTTTCAAAATTACTGAAAGATTCTCCTCATCCAGGTCAAATGTTCTCACAAATCTGGTCACTGATTACAAAGAGACAAGATGAAAACTTATGGTACACCTCAACAACTCCATTACCAACACCAAAGGAGATTTCAAAGTCGTGGACTTCTAAACCATGGGTTACCATTATCTTCTCTCAACCCTCTTCACAGCACATGTGTAAATACAGGTTGCTGAAGCCTAAGAACACAAAAGAAAACAAATAACTTATTTTAACCACAGCATGTATCGAATATATGTCATTATTCTGCCCTGTCATGGACACACATGCACACATGGTCACAGGCTATATTTTGACCCTTACTGGTCATGTCCTGTACAAAAACAAAACCTTACTGTTCCTCCAGATAGACTGCCAGTCCCTTTACGCAAGATTTCTTACTGCTGCCAGCTGTGGGTAATAGTGAAGCTACTAGTGTTCCCAAGTGACAAGCCACAGAAGCTTAGAGTGCTACACATACTGATGCCTGTTTGATTCCCAGAATTCTCTTTCTCAATTCTTGTCCTTCCTCAAGTCATTGTCATGAGATTTGGGAAACTATGCTGATTTGCTCTTAATCTTTTCCTATGATCTGTGATCACCTATGCAAGTCAGTTTAGGCCCCAAATAGTTACTCTACATCCTGGTTTATCTGAATTGGTGGTAGGGTCAGGGCAGTGAAAGAAAGAAATTGAAGTTAAGCCTTTATCTGATTATTTACTCCATGTAATAACATGTACAGTGTTCACATAACCTTGAAATGGATCAAACTCCCTTTTGTAAAGTGTTTTTACAAATGGTGTTTTATCTCCTATTGTCCAGATCTTTATCTTTCAATATAATTTTCCACTAAAAGGAAACAGAACTCCTTGGAGAAATGTCTGATTGCATGAGACAGGAATGTACCAGATAGGCCTGGAACAAAACAATGCAGCAGGAGAGAGTGGGAAGAGGAATGCAGATAAAACAGGATTGACATGATCTGATAATAGTTGAAACTGGGTATTAGGTACATGGGAGTTTTTTATATTTAGTATTCCACTTTTGTATTTTTAAACTTTTTCCATAAAACAGTTTAAGGATGATAAAAATAATTGCTATGTTTAAAATTCAAAAAGCATTAGCACATACATGATAAGAGTTGTTAATAATGCATACAAAGAAATTCTCTCCTCCACTCCAGATGCTCAGCCCTCCTCCTAAGGGCAATCCTAGTAACACTTCCCATGTACTCAAGGAAATTTCTAACAAAATATTTAAAAACATGCATACATTCATACATGTAATGCATATGCAACTTTCTTAAAACCACAATTGGTAGCAAATTATACACATTATTCTATGACTTGTTTTATTTTAGTAGATTTAATGCAATAAATGTCTACACATTACAATATTGTGAATTTCTTCTTTTCATATTAAGTTCCTTTCAAGTTTCTTTGATGTAATCAACAGATAAAAGGCCCACATCTTCACTATCTCGGGGTGGGGGGATGGTTCAGCAGGCTAACCAGGGTACAGTTTCGGACCTTATAAATTTCCAGGTTTGGAGAAAATATTACCTGGAAAAATGTCATGAATAAAAACACCTTGCATTCTCTACTACAGATCAGATCTTGTAAGATGTGGTAATGAGTACAAGAACTCTCCCTACCACTGCCAGGCACATATTGGGAATATGTAATATTGAAGTGGATGACAACTACATGAATCAAAGGAGGTGGATCTAGAAGCAGCAATGCGGTTGTGCTTCGGAATTCAAATATAGAATAACCAATGTGCTGAGACCAAGAAGCCACAGAAAAAGTGACTTATCTGCATGGAGCATACATTTTATTTATTTTGTGGGGAGAAGCATTATATAGTAAAAACAAACACAGCTGTATCACATTGCATTGCTCTTTTACAGAATACAAATCCCACGCGGATTCGCAAAGTAGAACAGGCCTCCCAGACGCGCCCGCGTGGCCCTCGAGTTTCCGACACGCCCGCGGGCCGCAAGGGTGGGAGCGGCGGCCGCTCCTTGTTACCCCGGGCACCTGGGCGGGAACTGGGAGCGCCCAGAAGAGCCGGACCCGCTCGCCAGGGTTGCGTCTTAAAGACGCTCCTTCCCAGCTCTCGGGATCCCGCTTTTCAGTATGGCCCAGGGCGCAGTGTGAGACGCGGTTCTGGCCCTGAACTTCAGCGAGGCCTGCCCAGCGGGCCAGAGACCGCGGGCGGCGCTTTCTTACGGGGGTGGGGCTTTTTCAGGGTGTTCACGCAGAGACTAGAGGGACTAAGATGGTGTCCGTTGCACTCCCCAGGACAGCTTCCTGAGAAGTCGAGGGCCCCAACACCCGAGCGTTAACCCAGTCCCTTGCCCTGCACAAGTAGGCCAGTGGGGAGCCCGGAAGTTTCTGGCCCCAAAGGCCAACGCACAGCCTCGTGTGCCGCAGGAGGACTGAAAAATGTTTGAGAGAACGTCGAAAGCGCGGGGAGGCGGGCCTGGCGTACAGTCACCATCTCGCGACACTTAAGTGACGTCGCACAGCAAGTGCGTGTTCTAGTCTTTCACCTTCAGTCGGCCTCCTCAGTTTAAGCGAGTGATCGACAGTTACTTCAGCCTATCAACTTCCTCATCAATACCCAATCAGATTTAAATTTCTTTCAGCCGCCTGAGAAGTTGGAAGAAAGGGGTCGAGAGCGCGAGCGAGCAACAGCGCGCTGTTTGTGTCTCGCGAGATCGGTGTATACCAAGCTCTCAAAAAGAAAAAAAAAACACAAAACAAAACCCAGAACTGATGATCCGACTTCCCAAATAGTGGGTTTAAGGACAGAGTTATAAACCAATGAAAGGGATGAGGAGGTGGGATCGCTGGTTTCACCGCGCAAGAAGTACCGTTACAGGGCAGACTTTTTGTCCAATCAACGCTTCCAGAGTTTGGGTCAGGTGACCATAGAGTATGAGGGGCGGGGCTACAGCCTGGCGCGAGGAACCGTTAAGATTGACAACGAAAACAACCAATGAGGTACCCGGACTAGGGCGTTGGGAACCCAATAAAAGTGGCTGGGCGGGCGCCTTCCCGGAGCGCGGGGAGATATACAGACAGACAAACAATTTTCCCAATGAGACTGTAGAAGAGAGAGCTAATTGACCAATGAGATCCGCGGGGCGGGATCCTTTGCCGCGGCGGAGTCCAAGATGGCGGCGTGCGGTTCCGCTGTGTGAAACGAGCGCGGGGTGGCGGGTTAATCAGCTCCTCGGAGGCGACCTCCGACTACCCGCAACAATGAAAGGAAAAGAGCGCTCGCCAGTCAAGCCCAAACGCTCTCGTGGTGGTGAGGAATCGACTTCCCGCGGGGAGCGGAGTAAGAAGTTAGGGGGCTCTGGTGGCAGCAACGGGAGCAGCAGCGGCAAGACCGACGGCGGCGGCGGGTCGCGGCGGAGCCTTCATCTGGACAAGTCCAGCAGCCGAGGTGGCAGCCGCGAGTATGACACTGGTGGGGGCAGCTCCAGTAGCCGCATGCATAGTTACAGCTCCCCTAGCACCAAAAATTCCTCGGGCGGGGGCGAGTCGCGCAGCAGCTCCCGGGGTGGAGGCGGGGAGTCACGTTCTTCTGGTGCCGCCTCCTCAGCTCCTGGCGGAGGAGACGGCGGGGAGTACAAGACCCTGAAGATAAGCGAGTTGGGGTCCCAGCTGAGTGACGAAGCGGTGGAGGACGGACTATTTCACGAGTTTAAGCGCTTTGGGGATGTAAGTGTCAAAATCAGTCATCTCTCAGGTTCTGGCAGCGGGGATGAGCGGGTAGCCTTTGTGAACTTCCGGCGGCCAGAGGACGCGCGGGCGGCCAAGCATGCCAGAGGCCGCCTGGTGCTCTATGACCGGCCTCTGAAGATAGAAGCTGTGTATGTCAGTCGGCGCCGCAGCCGCTCCCCTTTAGACAAAGATTCTTATCCTCCGTCAGCCAGCGTGGTCGGTGCCTCTGTAGGTCACCGGCACCCCCCTGGAGGAGGAGGTGGAGGCCAGAGATCACTTTCCCCTGGTGGCGCTGCCTTGGGATACAGAGACTACCGGTTGCAGCAGTTGGCGCTTGGCCGCCTGCCCCCTCCACCTCCTCCACCATTACCCCGAGAGCTGGAGAGAGAACGAGACTACCCGTTCTATGAGAGAGTGCGCCCAGCATACAGCCTTGAGCCAAGGGTGGGAGCTGGAGCAGGTGCTGCTCCTTTTCGAGAAGTGGATGAGATATCACCCGAGGATGATCAGCGTGCTAACAGGACGCTTTTCTTGGGCAACCTAGACATTACTGTGACAGAGAGTGATTTAAGAAGGGCTTTTGATCGCTTTGGAGTCATTACAGAAGTAGACATCAAGAGACCTTCTCGTGGCCAGACCAGTACTTATGGCTTTCTCAAATTTGAGAACCTAGACATGTCTCATCGGGCCAAGGTAGCAATGTCTGGCAAAATTATAATTCGGAATCCTATCAAAATTGGTTATGGTAAAGCTACACCCACTACCCGCCTCTGGGTAGGTGGCCTAGGACCTTGGGTGCCTCTTGCTGCCCTGGCACGAGAATTTGACCGATTTGGCACCATACGCACTATAGACTACCGAAAAGGTGATAGTTGGGCATATATCCAGTATGAAAGCCTGGATGCAGCTCATGCTGCCTGGACCCATATGCGGGGATTCCCACTTGGTGGCCCAGATCGTCGCCTTAGAGTAGACTTTGCAGACACAGAACATCGTTACCAGCAGCAATATCTGCAGCCTCTACCCTTGACTCATTATGAACTGGTGACGGATGCTTTTGGACATCGAGCACCTGACCCTTTGAGGGGTGCTCGGGATAGGACACCACCCCTACTATACAGAGATCGCGATAGGGACCTTTATCCTGATTCTGATTGGGTGCCACCTCCACCCCCAGTCCGAGAACGCAGCACTCGGACTGCAGCTACTGCTGTAACTGCTTATGAGCCACTGGATAGCTTGGATCGAAGGCGCGATGGCTGGTCCTTAGACCGGGACAGAGGTGATAGAGATATACCCAGCAGCAGAGACCAGCCTAGGAAGCGTCGGCTGCCTGAGGAGAGTGGAGGCCGACATCTGGATAGGTCTCCTGAGAGTGACAGACCACGGAAACGTCACTGCGCTCCTTCTCCTGATCGCAGTCCAGAACTGAGCAGTAGCCGGGATCGTTACAACAGTGACAATGATCGGTCTTCCCGTCTTCTTCTCTTGGAAAGGCCTTCTCCAATCAGAGACAGACGAGGTAGTTTGGAAAAGAGCCAGGGTGACAAGCGAGACCGTAAAAACTCTGCTTCAGCTGAACGGGATAGGAAGCACCGGACAGCTGCTCCCACTGAGGGAAAAAGCCCTTTGAAAAAAGAAGACCGATCTGATGGGAATGCACCCAGCGCCGCCAATACTTCATCAAAATTGAAGTCCCCTTCCCAGAAACAGGATGGGGGGACAGCTCCTGCAGCAGCAGCCTCTCCCAAACTCTGTTTGGCCTGGCAGGGCATGCTTCTACTCAAGAACAGCAACTTTCCTTCCAACATGCATCTCTTGCAGGGTGACCTCCAAGTGGCTAGCAGTCTTCTTGTGGAGGGTTCAACTGGAGGCAAAGTGGCCCAGCTCAAGATTACTCAGCGTCTCCGATTGGACCAGCCCAAGTTGGATGAAGTAACTCGACGCATCAAAGTGGCAGGGCCCAATGGTTATGCCATTCTTCTGGCTGTACCTGGAAGTTCCGATAGCCGATCTTCCTCTTCATCGGCAACATCGGACACTGCCACCTCTACTCAGAGGCCACTTAGGAACCTTGTGTCCTATTTAAAGCAAAAGCAGGCAGCTGGGGTGATCAGCCTCCCTGTGGGAGGCAACAAAGACAAGGAAAACACCGGGGTCCTTCATGCCTTCCCACCCTGTGAGTTCTCCCAGCAGTTTCTGGATTCCCCTGCCAAGGCACTGGCCAAATCTGAAGAAGATTACCTGGTCATGATCATTGTCCGTGGTGCGTCCTAAAGTCCATGTATAACTTGTATTTACTACTTTGACATGGTTCCTGTTTTGTGAAGTGTGATGGGATACAGCATCAGATCAGATTTTCTTTTTAATTAGTTGTTTAATTGTCTTTTTTTTTATATATATTTTTATAAACTTCTTTAAAATAGAAGTCAGGACAGTTTAGCTATTATTTTAAAGTGAAAGGGATGTCCTGAAAGTAGCAAAAGATGGATTTTCTTTAATTAGGAGTTTCTACCCTTGTGAGAAATTTTTTTCCAGTTTTTTCTTCATTTTTTTAAAACTTGATCTTAAAAAAAATCCTCAAAGTTACAAATCCAAATTTTTGAGAAATCAGAATTTGGAGAAAAGAACCCACTGACATTTACAGATAGTAAAATACACCGAAAAGTGGCTTGATTGATGTGTAGATAAATAATTCCATAAATGTTATATGTGTGACAGATTTGATCAGGGATCTCAAAAGCTTATGCTGGTAAATTGCTTAGCAGTATAATTATTTTAATCAGGTATTTGAGTGTTTCTACTAAAATACAGTTTATTCCCGGAGAGTTTGCTGTAACATGCATTTTTATCATTAGTTCTTGAGTTTTGTATCCCGTATTGCACTTTTGGTTTGTAGCTGTAATTGTTCAGTAAAAATTGAGGACTATGTTACAAACCATTTATGTCTTATGCTTACACTAGTATGCAAGAATTGAGTAGGTGCTTTTAAAAATCAGATTTCTTTGGTCAGTTACAGGTGTATGGTGGTGTTTTTACTGACTTTTTCAGAGAGGTATAGCAGGTACAGTTCTAATTTAATTGTGTATATTTGAAAACTCAGTGTTTTTCATCAAAGATGAGTTTTTGTTTTTGAATCCATTTAAATTTCTGGTTTAAATAATAGAAAGAAGAGTGGTCTGCAGGCTCATAAGTCATCTTTTGTTTCATTGGGCATTAATCAACTAGGTTGCAGAATTGTTTTTGAAAGTCATTGTAATATGCTGTCAATGTGCTTTTTAGAAATTTTGCTTGTATTTTTTTTGTTTTTATAGTCAAACAGTAGTGGTGATATTACATTATTGAAAATGTTTTTAATGTTTTTGAAGTTTCATGCGTAATATTTTCACCACTCTGTAGCCACAGAAATTTGAAATGTCAGTATAGGAAAGCCCTTTTTTTTAATTTGTCCAGACACCTATAATTAATATAATTTAGCCCATTTGTATGGTTTTTTTTTGTTGTTGTTGTTATTGTTGTTCTTTTTTCTGTTTCCAAAGCTAAGGATGATATGACTTTGGGTTCTTCACAAGGGCTTGTGCAACTTTACAGTAATGAATGACTTTTTGTTTTAACTTTCTCATCTACCCCTCTGTTACCACCCCTTATTTCTCAGGTCATTAGTAACTATGTTTTTCTTCCTTGATTTAAGTGCTGAGGATGTCAGCTAAGGCCCTTGATATTTAATTATGATGAGAAACTTTAGGACCTTCTGGATCATGGTCATGTTTCTATTCTGTGAAAGTGACTTATTCAAAGCCTGGCAGAACCCAACTGTTTTCTTTCTGTTATCAAATCTGGCAGTTTTGAAATAGCACCAATAATAACCCAGGGAAATGTCATGTAATTTTTATTTTCCATTATGACAGGTGTCTAATGCATGTCAGCATGAAAGCCTCATTACTACTGCGTCATCCTTCTTGGTTTTCACTATGCATTATAAATTTAAAAAAAAATTTTTTTGGAGGTTTGGGTTTTTTTTTTTTTTTTTTAAACTGGAAAACTAACCATTTTGAGAGAAGGAAAATACTAGGCTATGAGTATGAAGGTCCTTGATTTATCTGTAGAGAAAATACCCGAACTACAACCAAGACTTTGGATGACTTTTGATTCTAAAAAGCAGTGATTGGAGTGGAGTAGACACCTATTCAGAAGCTAATGCAGGTGTGGAGTCTGTGTACATGGGGTTAAAGTTCAATTTGTAAGACAGATACATTTTTTCCAGTTTAAATAATTTCACTAACCATTAACTTTTGAATATCTTTTGATTAGATAGTTGGATAAATGATTTTGCTCTCTAGAGAGTGAAGTCCATGACATCTAATTTTACTATAAGCCAAAATGTGTGTGATTTTCCCTTTTTCTTTTCCTTTTTTTTTTTTTTAAATTTGGTATGATAGCCTATTGAAGAGTACTGTGGTTTTTGCTCCATGTTTGTTTGAATCCTTATTTGGCATTGCTGCTTTTGTTAGATCTGGGCAATTTGTGCTTCAGTGTTTTTGAAACTGGCTTGATACCATTTCTAAATGTATGTATTATAAAAAGCTAATGATGTTTAGTTTGGTGCTTACCTTTAGAGTGCCATCATCCCGATGAATTTCTTATTTGTGTTGCCCATTCTGTTGTGCAGGTTCATAATAACTGTAAGTTATCTACTTAAACCTTCAGAATTTGAATGAAAGCAAAAGTCTAAAACTGGTTCTAATTCTTATTAGTCAGAATTTCAAAATCCCGACATTGGATGTTCTTTGTAACACCAAAATTTCTCTTTTTTTAAGTCTTCTTTTCTTTAATTACTTCAGTGTAAATTATTTTTCAGGAACTCAGTTAAAATGAATGGAAAGAAAATTTCTTACATATATTATTTAATTATTTACTAAATATTACTGGTGAAAATAAGATAATTTAATAAGACTTAAGATCACAATTTCAAAATTAGAGAGAGCTGTTGCTCAACTTCTAGCAAATAGTTAATTGATATTGTTTTGTTGATTGTACCTGGGATTCCTCCTGTAAATATTTTTTCACAGGAAAACTTAAATTTCTGGTGTAAGATGTGTACGTTGACTCTCATCCACTGAGAGTAGATAGAGTTTTCCTTTACAAATTGCATCTTAAAATGTTCATCCTGTGGCTGATATAAGCTTTTGTCATGTCGAAGGTAATATACTCCCTTCTTGACTCCCATGAATCATTTGATGTACAGCAGTATAGGTCAGGTTTTTCAGAGTCAGACATTTCCAGGTTTATTTAAAAACTATTTTATGAGCAGGTGTTCACTGATATTATCACATTACTTTTTTGAAAAATGTAAGTCCAGTTTTTTACACAGTGAAATTGCTCATTTTGCAGGAATAGTACTGAACTGAAGTTTGGGTTCATATAGGAACCATTAACCAAAACATTTGTGGAAAAGGAAAGCCTCTTGAGAAGAGGGCCTTAATGACCTTTTATGTGAAAAAAAATTTTTTTTGGAGAGAATTTCTGGATTTTTTTTTTTTCCTGTTTCTGTCCCAGAGTCTGATTTTGAGATAGGAGTTAGGAATGAGAAAAAGAGGAAAAATGGAGCTAACCCTGTTAATATTCTGGTTTCAGTGATGTCCCTAAAGAGAGAAAATGATTTCAGGTAACCACAGTAAAATGTTAAGCTTAATGAAAAGTTTTTATGTGTATGATTTAAACAGAATTGAAAAACAAGAGTCCTGATGTGTTGTTTGATTGTTAGCAATTGTATGAGTGTTTTCTTAACAGAAAATAACAGCTGCTGTTTTTGGTAACATAGATGAAGGTGGATTTTTAAATGGGCTTTGTATCTTGACCCCTTTTGATAATAATGCTCCATATAAATTACAAATTGAAAGAAGAGGGGGTAAAAGTTTGACTAAACTCCACCTTTTTATAACTTCATTTTTAAAGTTATATTTAGGAGATGTTGATTGGTTATAAATTGCTTACAAACTTGCTTTTTCAGAAAAGTTTTGCCACATTTTGCTCAGTTATATGAGGATAAAAGATATTTTCAGTCCTATGATCCTCAGTTGCAGTCTTTAAAAAAACTTACCTTATTGTTCTACTTGTTATTTGTGTATTCATACAGTAAAATCATTTCAAGGTTTGTGCCAGTGGGTATTATTGGTGCTTTTTGAAGTTGAGGTGGATGTCCTATCCAGGAAGGTCTTGTTAATATTATGTTCATCTATAATGGCATAGGGGAAATATATATATTTTTAATATTGTAAACGTTTGTACTGAATAACCTTTTTTTCCCCCCTGCAAGCAAAACTGGTGAACAGCGGATGAAGATATGGAATTCAAAGCTCTAATGGACCTTTTTGAAGAGAAGTTGTGGCTTATGTGGAGTTTACATGGGCCTCTGATGGAAGAAAGCTAATCTGTTTAGTATTTGTGCATTTTACTAAAATGGCAGCTTAACATTGTGTATCTGCTATTGTGATGCCAATGCCGGTGTTTTAAGTGGAAAAAAAAAATGACCTCTTTGCTTTGTGCTGTGTACACAAGAGTTCTGGAAAAGTAAAGAAAAACCCTTTTTATGGCTCACACAGCTTAAAAGTAGCTGTCACTCAAACGTGCGCTCACAGTTGAGCTGCTTTTGTTTTATTCTAAATAAATTGTTTCTTTTGAGGAAAATGTTTTTCTGCTTGGAAGTGAATTGACGGCAAACCTTGACCCCTTTGTTTGCAGCCGAGGGGGTACTTGCTGCTGCTCAGATCTTGTATGTCTTGAGCAAGAAGCAGGGAGACCATCAATTTCATTTTGACTATCACGGTGTGTCAATTCTGAAGGATCACTAGTGTTACCGTGACCCCCTTTGTTTGCAGTGAAGGGGATCCTTTGCTTCTCGGTCCTCAACGTGATGAGGGAATGGTGCTGTTTGCTGGCACGCAAGAAGCCGGGGCTAGCACCCTAAGCCTCACCACAGTGCACGAGTCGGGGGCTTTGCTGGTTTGAAGAGCTGGAGTTGCTGAAATTTAAGTTTTGATTTATTTTGTTCACCCATCACGTTTGGCCTTAGTTTCATTTTTAATTTGAAGAAAAGTTTGAAATTGCTTTATCTTGCACTTTTAACATTTCCACCAAATTGCCAAAAGAAGGAGAAATGCTCCGTTTGCTTTTTAAATGTTAATGATGATGTTAATAAAGCCTTTCCTGACACATTTGAGGAGCTCCTCCGTCTCCAGGGGCTTCTTACGAGTTATGCAGTGATGGGTTTAGTTCTGAATGGATGAAGAGTTCCTGAGAGATAGCGTTTGTAATTAGAACCGTTACTTGGTATCTGTGCCTTATTTGACCTGTGGTTCCACATGCCTTGGATGTGCATGCACCGTGACGGTTTCATAGGTACGAACGCACACTCAGGCCCAGTCACTTCGGTTGGTAGTACAGATTGTGAGGAAAAAAAATGGAGGCATCATTAAGGAGGAGAAAGTGTTTGCCTTTAGTTCCTGCATTATCCTGTACAGGGGCTCTTGAGCTTTGGAAGCCTGTTCCCAGTACAGGAGAACAACTCCCCTGTTTGCAGCAGGAGACTTCGGTGCACAGTGACAACGCTGGAGTTCAAGAGGAAGCCAGCAATGCTGCACCATTGGCTTCAGACACCATGGTTGTTTGCCAGTTTTAAACTTAACTAGTTGCAGACGAAGACCTCCTTGAAATGCAGGCTTGTTGGGCTTGTTAAGAATTTTAACCTCGGATGGAAGAGCCCTAGTGCTGTCTGTCTCCATGCGGGATGATGATTGCTAGGCAACAGGTGATTATCAACCAAGGATGCCACGGTTATACTCTGCAAGGTGGTGTTCCGGTGGCAAACAGCTGTATAAACTCTTGTAAACAGGTAAGAGGGTTTTTAGAGGTCAAAAATGCATTGTAATTAATAGGGTGAGGGCATTTAATATTTTGGGTATGTTTCTGTGGTTGGAAGTTCAGCACTCTGCTAGCTTCCTTCTTCCACTGAGCTACCATATTTACAAAATTCCAAGCCAGAACTTTTGTTCTACTTGATATTATCACTTGGAAAATTTCTTTTAATATGGGAGTCAAAGTGTTAAATTTTTGGTAATGGGTTTGAAATTTGTGACCTTTATATCCTGTAAAGTTTTGACAATTTCCATTAACCTTGGCTTTTGCCTTTGATGTGATGTAATGGTGTAAGATGACTTACTCTATCAAAATGTTGCTCATTTACGAACATTTATAAATTTCAGAGTTAAGAGTTCTATGATATATAACAACAAAAGAAAGTATGCCACTTTTTGGGGGTGAATGATATTTTAGCCAACATGGTTGCTTTTTTTTTTTTTTCCCTTGTCACATAGATTGGTTACAAACTACTACTTTAAGGAATTGAATAGGCAGTATTGAGAAGAGCCTGATAGTTGTCTGCTCTTAACATTTTCATTGTCCAGTTAATCCTACAAGCCCTCTTGAGCCCCAACCCCCCTCCCCCCCAATCCATTAATCAAGTGTGAGGCAACTTATCAGAAGCACAATTTAGGTTTCCTTGCTTTGCTCTAAATGGCATCGAGAATTTGGAATAGAATTTTCCTTTTTTAGTCTTTACAGAAGACTTACAGAATCTGGTAACTACAGAAGCTGATTTGTACTAGCTACTTTATCCATGGTTTCATTGAGACCCTTGGATTGTTTATTTAGACAGCTTATGCACTCATACTTTGATATAGTAAAAGGAACAAAATGAAGAACAGTAGGTTTCTTTTTTTTTTTTTTTTTTTTAAGGTTCTCAGTGTGTTCTACATATGTGACTGCCATCTAAGGCTTTGCTAAAAAAATCTCTTTGCAATTCTTTTAAAGATTTCTATACCTGCTGTAAATGTCAGTTTTCAGTGCATTTTCTCTATTGTGCTATTCCACTTTATAAACCCATAAGTGTTTTTTTCTAATTAGCAGGCAAATATTTTAAATTACTGGAGTTTTGGGAAGATTATGTTATACTTTCAACTTATTTCTATATGGTTGGTCTCTTTCTAAAGTCTCAGGATTCTTCTCAAGAAGGTAGAAGAAGTGTTGCGTTTATTTATATTTAAAATCATTATGCAAAAATATATGTAGTACGGTAATGTTTTGAAACTGCATTACTCATGAGATTATTTATTCCTGCTCAACTGGGTTGTTAGGTACAGAGTTTTTATAAGTTGGAAACTGCTCTTAACTTTTATAAGTTAATTCTGCTCTGTAGAATTAATTGTTTGGTTTCCCAGTGTCTTTTATGTGATCATAATTTAGTGTTCTGCAAAGGGCATAGTTCCAGAAACACCTCTGAATTGACTTGGGTTTATTTTGTGAAGTTTGACTGCAAGTATTAATATTGGAAATGAGGATCACCTGACTTCATTAAAACAACCCAGATTTTATAAATTGCCACTTTCATAGCATGAGTCATATAATTATTTAAGAGCAGTGTATCTGAGGTAATAAATTTACTGCCTGTGGCTTATACAGCATCTCATTTTCTTTTTTAAATAATATATCTAATTATGCCTTATCTGACTACCACCTTTATCTCTCACTCAAATTTATTCTCTGGGCTTCCCTATTTAAAAGATCTTTTCATTTAGAAACTTGAATCTAGTTTTAAGTTCTTAGAAGGGAAATTTTTATTGAATAACAATTTCTTCAAACCTTGAAAAAGCTTGGTTTTAGCAGAAAAGAAGTTTTTGGCCTTGAGGTAAAATTACTTCACATGCTTCAGCTCAAGTGACTATAATATTCAGCTTCCAGTTAAGATTTCTCTACAATCATTTGAATGCTGGCTGTATAATTAGGAACTAAGGTGCTGGGAATAGGAAGTACAGATCAGATACTCTCTACCCCCTTTAGCAACGTATACTCTAATTGGGGAAACTAGATTGAAACAGATAAATAATTAAATATTGGAAAAATTTAAACAGTTTACATCAGCTATAGGAAGGAGGTCACAGGTCATTATTTAAGTGGCAATAAATTTTTGTGGGTGATATGGATATATGGAATAAGTTGTAATGGTCAGTAAAGGCTTTACAGAAGAATTTGTTGAAGACGGACATAGAGTAGTGGAAGGAGATTGGGATCCACAGCCTAGGCAGGAGAGCATGAGTAGTAATATAGCAGCTGCTTGCTGGTCCACTGAAGATATGATGCAAACTACAGCCTAGAAAGCTAGTAAGATGGTTGAATCAACAAAAAAGGGCAAAGCCAGTTTGAGGAGGGTAGAGTGAAAATGGATGATAAGTTGGAACATTTTTGATAGCAGTAATTTATTGAATATCACTTCAGGCCAAACATTCTTCAAATTGTCTCATTTAACTCTCACCACATACCAGAATCTGACAGTAAGTGATGGGACTGGAGTTATAACCAGGACTTTGTCTCAGCTAGGGCTCTTTTGGACACTATGTTGTTATGTCTCACTATTTTTTTTTCCTGGAGTTTAGGGATATGACTAAATCTGCAAACTAGAGAAAATGCCTGAACAGTGGATTTCAACCTATTAACATTTGCAGTACTTGGGAAGCAAGCTGGTGGTGCATGTCTGTAATCCTAGCAATACAAGAGGTTGAGGCAGGAGGGTCACAAGTTCAAGGCCAACCCCGGGCAACTTTAGTGTTATCCTGTCTCAAAATCAAAAATAAAAAGGGGCTGGGAAGTTAGTTCAGTGGTACAGTACCCCAGTACCACAAAAGCAAATAAAAAATAAAAATAAACCTTGAGGAAACAGGCTTTTTGCTCCACCCTGGACATTTTGTAATGTTAGGATCAGGATGGTCCTGGAATGTTTATTCTTTTATAAGTTCTCCAGGTAATGCTGTTACATTCTATGGTTAGTGGGCTGCAAGTTGAATAATACTGGTACATAGAGTGCTTGAGGTGTAAAGCTAGAATGATGTTGTATTTGAGGATGAAGAGAAGATGGTGGGGCTGGGGAAATAGCTCAGTTGGTAGAGTGATTGCCTTGCATGCACAAGGTCCTGAGTTCAATCCCCAGCACCAAAAAAAAAAAAAAAAAAAAGAAGATGGTGCTGGTAAAAGAATCCTAGGTGACAGCAAGAATAGTATTCTGTTTCAGAGGTTGAGAGGAGAAGCTTCCAGAAGATAAACTCAAAGCTGTTGGAGCAGACAGGGAGAGTAAAACTGCACATACCATCAGATTTGTCACTTAAAATTGTCAATTAAGTAACCGTTTTATATATGTAATTATTTCTTCTAGATAGTCTTGCTTAGTATTTAATTTTGCCTAATAACAATCTGCAAAGGGCCAGTGTTTACTTTATGAAATGCTTAAAGGTATGCCAGAAAAGTTTTGGAACTTGGCTAAGGAGTACACAACCAAGAACTGATTCACGTGTACTTGAATTTTTAGACATTAATCTAAAAATAATATGACTGTAATCTAGCTTAAAATTGAAAGCAGTTCTGGAATTGAGTGAGTTCATATGTATGTATACAAAAGTTGTTCTAAGAATTCCAGGTTGAGCATCCCTTATCTGAAATCTGAAATGCTTCAGAATCTGAAAATTTTCCATCTTCATGTTGATGTTCAAAAAGTTTCAGATTTCTAGGCTGAAGGATATATTTATGAGCAGAGTGCTTGCCTGGTGTGCTTGAGTCCCTGGGTTGGATCCTCAGCATTGCAA